TTTTCAAGGATCGGACACTTAAAAAAAATAATATTGAAAGGACGAGGATTTCGATGTGGTTCGGACTAGAGATTGATGTGGTTGGCCTTCCTCCCCTCGTCTATATGTCTGTATATATAACCTAGAAGGTGAGTAAAAAAACCGGGATCATCGATGTTTTGGAAACATAATTTTTATTATGCCTACAATCCAAACAAAATAAAAGTGAGTATTTGCTGTTTTAAAATTTTTGGTGTGGCTATGTATTTTAAATGTAAATAACAATTAAATACGGTGAATTCCACTATTCTTGACGGATTTTGAATTATAGTAACAGATTATAATATGAATAAAAATATTCTTATTCGTTGTTAGTTATACTTGCATAGGTTAGCTTACCCTATGTTAGCTCAACCTGAATAAATACTAAAGTGGGCCCAACCCACAGTTGGATGACGACATTTTATGTCCCAAGTATTATAGAAAAATATTGCGAGGCATTTATAATCTTATTGTACTGAGTATACAGTACTAGATCAACTGGACTCCACAATCTTTACAAAGACTTCAAGTGCCCAATAAATATAAGTGATTCGATTTTGATTTGAATTGATTTGATTTGTTTGATTTGATTTGATTTGATTTGATTTGATTTAAGGTTAGTTGAATATTTATCTAGTAAATGTTTAGCTTATCCCAGGTTAGCTGAATATTTATCTAGTATATGTTTAGCTTATCCCAGGTCAGCTGAATATTTATCTAGTATATGTTTAGCTTATCCCAGGTTAGCTGAATATTTATCTAGTATATGTTTAGCTTATCCCAGGTTAGCTGAATTTTGATCTAGTATATGTTTCGCTTATCCTAGGGCTGAATATTGATCAAGTATATGGTTAGCTTACCCTAGGTTAGCTGAAGATTGATCTAGTAAATGGTTAGGTTACCCGATGTTAGCTGAAGATTGGTCTAGTGTATGGTTAGCTTACCCTAGGTTAGCTGAAGATTGATCTAGTATATGTTTCGCTTATCCTAGGTTAGCTGAATATTGATCAAGTATATGGTTAGCTTACCCTAGGTTAGCTGAAGATTGATCTAGTAAATGGTTAGGTTACCCGATGTTAGCTGAAGATTGATCTGGTATATGGTTAGCTTACCCTATGTTATCTGAATATTGATCTAATATATGGTTAGCTTACCCTAAGTTAGCTGAGTATTGATCTAATATATGGTTAGCTTACCCTAGGTTATCTGAATATTGATCTAATATATGGTTAGCTTACCCTAGGTTAGCTGAAGATTGATCAAGTATTGCTAAAATACCCTGATTAGTTCTTTCAATCAAAGTACAGATAACACAGTTACTAAAGTATCCAATCTAAAAAAAATTATAAATTTATCATAAAAAATCGTAACATTTTCATGAGTTAGGAATCAAAATTGAAAAGCTTTGAAATTCTCCAAAATGTAAGAATGTAATAGAATTTTCGAGATACTTTCAAAAGAATCAACTTGAATTTGAATTAAATGCTCCAGCGTGAAATATATAAGAATCTGTTTGAAAAAACTTGAACTTTCAATTTTACCAGGAGCGTTTTTCTTGTATACCAGTAATATTGTGAACCTTTTTTTAAACACTATATGAAATTGACTCTTTATTTCAGAAAATGTGATCGATCGATTTAAAAATGATTTCTAACCTGCTTCCACTCTATTCCCTCGGACATGATCTCCACCTGCTCCCTCCTGAAGGTCCAATCAATAAAAATCTGCTGCAGCTTCTCGTTGGCGAAGTTGATGATGAACTGCTCAAACCCGTTCTCCTCAAAGGCCTCGAACCCGTAGATGTCCAGGATTCCCAGAACCTTGTGCTTCCTCTGGGTCTTCACCTTTAAACAGGATCAACAAGGATTAATATTGATATTATAGCTGAATAATCCAGCGCTTAAAAATTTGAGTATCGTATGTTCCTTCCTTTTTCATATATTTGATTAATCCCAAGTTAAAGTACAGGGTGAGTCAAACAAAAGGGTGAATAGTGAGATCTTGCATATAATAAAGCATTGTTTTTTTGGTAATCTCATTTTTAACAAATATATAAGTATGACATTTTTGATTTTTTTGTAGGCAATCTGAGAAGACTCTTTAAAAAATCCGTGATACTATTTTTTATTCAAAATTAGACGAGTAAAAACTAAACGTGCGGGAATTTTCTATCACACCGTAAAATCTTAAACAGATCAGATGAGTAGTTTCGCAGAAAATGTGCGAAATTAAATAAAGAAGTTCCGCAATTTTAGTTCTAAACAAATTTTAATAATACATTCTTTTATGTGTATTTTCCTATTATTCTAATTTTCTCCAAGATTCGCCAAAGAATAAAAAAATCATCAAAATGATTAAAAAAAGGCGGATTTTCTGAATTAAATTTCGTGCATTTTCTCCAAAACTATTCATCTAATCGTTTATTGTTTAAGATTTAAGGTGCGATAGAAATAAAATAATCTCGCACTTTTTAAAAATGGCGTACATTATTGTCAAAAATTAAATTAATAAAAAAAATTGCTTTATTATATGCAAGTTCTCGCTATTTACCTTTTTTTACTTGTCCTGTGCAATTCTGTATTTTCCAAGAAAATTTCACGTTTTGTCATTTTTAGATGTATCTCTAGTTTAGTTCCACTGGCAGGGTTTTATTGATTCATCTGATCAATTATACAATGTGTCGGAATATTTGGCTTCGTATTTATAAACAGGAAAACAACTTTTTATCCAGAAAATAAATCCCGGATGATTTCACTGCAACCGGCTTACCCGGGGGTTAGAGAGGAGAGGGCCTGTCTACAGTGGGATACA